CTTCTTAATATGAACTAATACCAATATTAACACCTCACATATCACATATATACTGTGGAACTGAAATTCAATACAACAATACGAAATTTAAGAAAGGAATTCAATATAACACTACGAAAATAAAACAAAAGAAAAATTGGAGAAAAAAGTTGCTCACCAAAAGACTGTGTTTGCGGGATTCATGCCGGCCTGGTTAATGGTGGTTTCGCCAATGAGACGCTCGCCGTCGGCAAAAGCGACATAGGATGGCGTGGTGCGATTTCCTTGATCATTGGCTATGATCTCGACGCGGTCGTGGTGCCACACGTCCACGCATGAGTAAGTGGTCCCCAAATCAATCCCAATTGCAGGCCCCTCGCCTTTTGCGGCCATTACTGAATCAAAAATTTGAGCGAGAACTTGAATATATAATCACAATCAAACTGGTATGGTAATTAATCAGCTCTCACCTTTTGAATGGTTGGTTGTATTATTAATTGCAAAAAAAATTTTTCACCCCCAATACAAAGATACATTAAGTTTTTCACACTGCTCACTAACAATCTAACTTTTTCACCCCGAGAAGTGCCAAGGTTATGCGAATGGACTGCATAACTATAGTATATCAATTGCATAACTGTCGCATATTCATCGCGCAATGCCTTCGCACTCACTTTTTCCACCCCAGAAAGTGTGAAGGGATATGCGAATGCCTTCGCACTTTTAACTTTCGCACAATGTCATCGCGCAACTATCGCATATTCGTCACATAATACCTTTCCTACTTTATGGGGTGAAAAAGTTAACTTTTCTACGAATGGTATGAAAAATTTAATACATTTCCATAGTGGGGTGAAAAGGACTATTTTCACTTATTAATTCAAGTGTCAATTCCGTACACAGTGAACTTCTCTAATAACAGGTTTTCATGAAGTTTGAAAATATAAACGGGCAAATTGTGTTGTAGGGCTTCACTTTTTGCTATTGTGTCACAATAAGGTTTGAATTTTTAACCTTTTTATTTGAAGGTTTCAATTTTAACTTATTCTCAATATAAGGCCTACTTTTATATTCTACTTTTCAATTTAAGACTCCAAATCACTTTTTGTTTTGATATAATTATGTAAACAACAATATATTTCTTAAAACTTATTTTTTAAGTACTTATAATGAAAAATATTAAATATCTTTAATAAAATTATCTAATAAGTTAATTGTTTCATACTTTATATTTATGCAAAAGCTTTATCAAATTTATTTAAAAGTAAAAAAATAAATTTTAACTTAATTTTAATCTAAATATGTGATAACATTAAAATATAAACTATTTAGAAGAATAATTTTATTTTTTCAAATAAACTTATAGAAAATATTATTTGTGAATAAAATTTATATTTCTGAAAAAGTTAAGACTATATAAAATTAATGTCCGGAAAATTCTATTATAGGTAGTTTTATTCACAAATAATATTTTCTATAAATGTTTTAAAAAAAATAAAACTATTTTTCTATGAAATAACTTATATTGAAAATAACTTAAAATTGGAACCTTCAATTGGTGATGGGAGGAGAGTAGTTCACTAGACTTATATTAGACTCATTTTTCCTACAGAAACGAGGTGAGACAAAACACAAGTGATATTTCAACATTGTTTTCGCTTTAGAGGAAACAACTATAATTGTAAGGATGCTCAAGTAGCTTAGAAAACAACGGAAATGCTAAGGAGCCATCCAATGGTTCCGTTATGGAGCCATCGGATGGCTCCTTAGCATTTCCGTAGAAAACAAATGGGAGAACCCAAAACGAGACAACAATGATAATTTGGAATTTTTTTCAATTATATTTATTAAATACTATTTTTTTAATATAAATAAATATAGATAATAAAAAAGTTCGAATAACCCTATTTAGATTTGAATGTGATGCGTCAAAATTTTGGGGACCTACAATACTTTGTACGCAGTTGACACTTGAAGACATCCAACCATCCGAGCGAGAGCTGATTAATCAACTTACCAGTTTGATTTTGGTTATTTATTCAAGTTTTCCCTCACTTTGTTCTTACAGTAATGGCTGCAAAAGGCGAGGGGCCTGCAATCGGGATTGATTTGGGGACCACTTACTCATTCGTGGGCGTGTGGCACCACAACCGCGCCGAGATCATAGCCAATGATCAAGGTAATCGCACGACGCCCTCCTATGTCTCTTTCGCCGACGGCGAGCGTTTCATAGGCGAAGCCGCCATTAACCAGGCCGGCATGAACCCCGCAAACACGATCTTTGGTGAGCAGTTTTTTTCCCCAATTTTTCTTCTGTTTTATTTTCGTAGTGTTATATTGAATTCCTTTCTTAAATTTCCTAGTGTCGTATTGAATTTCAGTTGCACAGTATATGTGAGGTGTTGATATTGGTATTAATTAGTTCATATTAAGAAACAACCCTACTCTGCCTCTAACCGTGTTGGGCGATATGCAGATGCCAAGCGGTTGATCGGGAGACGATACAGCGACGCCTCTGTGCAGGCTGACATAAAGCTGTGGCCTTTCAAGGTTGTCCCGGACCCCACGGACAAGCCCATGATTGTGGTCTCCCACAATGGCGAGGAGAAGCAGTTCCCCCCTGAGGAGATATCTTCCATGGTCCTCACCAAGATGGCTGCCATTGCCGACTCCTATCTGGCCCCACCCTTGTCCGGGATGTCGTCATCACCGTCCCGGCCTACTTTAGCAACTCTCAAAGACAGACCACCAAGGATGTCGGTGCCATTGACGGCCTCAATGTCATCCGCATCATCAATGAGCCCACTGCTGTCGCCATTGCCTATGGCCTCAACTACAAAGCAGAGAAGAAGAATGTGTTGGTCTTCGACTTAGGCGGTGGCAGCTGTGACGTCTCCATCCTGACAATATCAAATGGTACCTTCGAGGTGAGGGCCACCGCTGGCGACACCCACCTTGGCGGGAGGATTTCGACAACCGCATTGTTGCTCACTTTGCCAAAGAGTTCAAGCGCAAGTACAACAAGGACCTTTCCGAAAACCCGCGGGCCCTACGGAGGCTGGGGACAGCTTGCGAGAGGGCGAAGAGGGTTCTCTCGAACAATGTGGACGTTGAGTGTCTGCACGAGGGAATTGACTTTCACTCTAGCATTACCCGCGCTAAATTCGAGGATCTCAACATGGACCTGTTCGAAAAATGCGTCGAACCTGTAGAGAGCTGCCTGAGAGATGCTGGGGTGGAGAAGGCTGCCATCCATGATGTCGTTCTGGTTGGAGGCTCGAGCAGGATTCCTAAGGTTCAGAAGATGCTGCAGTTTATTTTCGAGGGAAAGGAGCTGTGCAGGAGCATTAACCCGGATGAGGCTGTTGCGTACGGTGCCGCCGTGCAGGCAACCGTCCTACGTGTTCATAATGAGGACTTAGATTTTAATGCTCTGGCTTAGATTTTAATGCAAATTACTTGATATTTTCTATAGTTAGGTCGCAACTTTATATATGTCACTCCTCTGATTCCTTCCACATTAACTGGAAGGCCTTCAATGTATGTCCGTACAGGAACATATGCAGTTGGACCTCCAAGTAGACTCTATATGAGAACTCATGTAGACATCCCACCATTTGAACTTCCCAGTTCCCAGTAGTAGATTGAGAGAAAAGAGGTAAGATATATTTTTTCAGCAAATTTCTTCATTTTCTCATTTATTCTGAAATCTTTTTGAAGTTATTGTTGATGATAAGCTACAAACTATCAAATGCTATTACTGATTTCAGTGTGAGTCATTTAGAAACCATTTAAAATGTTGTAGATGCCATTAGAAATTTATAAAGATGAACTTTTTGGAAATAGAGATAAAAAGAAAATTGCTAACTGAGGCATTGCTGAACATGTGCAATAAAGTACGGAATTTGATTCAACGGCTCACATCAGCGTTTCCATATTTGGCGTCTCATTTAGAATGGTGGGTTTTTTTTATTAATAATAGTTTTTGTTATCAATGATTTGGATACCGTGGTTTGGTCGTGTGAGTTGCTGGGACAGATCTTAAGAGTCTTTAGGTGCGCTTCAGTTATTCCGTGACCGTGTTTGATCTATTTCTTAAGAGTCTTTGGAGTAATGTGTTTTTTATTTTTAGTTTTCTTATTTTTTTATAGCTTCATCAAGAAGTTGTAATCACTCAAACTATGTCAAACTTGCAGAGGAATTGAACACCCGGGGTATTTCTCAGTATCCAACTACCATGACGATTGTACGTATTTGGTTCTGGCTGCTTGTCAACTCCAGCATTTCGTGCATAAATGAACATAAGATGGTTAGTACTTGATTATTTTTTTTTTAATTATTATTATTATTTTTATGGGTGTCATGTATTGTGTAGTTTCCTGCCTAAATGAGTCTGACTTTACATAAGTCTTAATTATTGACATTCACTTTTAAACTGTCTTACCTTATACAAACAGAGACCTACATCAAGGTAGCTGAAGCTTTGTTTAACATAGACAAACCGATTCTCCTTTTCAATAATTTGAAGGGACAAAAAGGTCTTCAGAGATGGTACATATATTAACGATGATGATGGTAAGTTTATTGTTTAATTTCCTAATGCAAATAAAATAAAGAGTCGTAGCTGAGAATAATTTGAGGGTTACCTGTAGATGTTGCAATATATCTAAAATTGATGTTTCGAGGTTTGAATTTTTTTTCCACATGTTGTTTAGTTATTCTAGGGCTTGCAGTTGTCATTCAACTGCCATATTCTTTATAACTTAATCGTTCTATTTTTTTCGTGTGCAATTTAGTTAGTTGTGCTTTTGGTTATGCCTTTACCATGAATGTTTTTTTCACCCACGTTACTCTCCAATTTAGCTATTGTTCAGGTGTGCATTTTAGATTTATTTATGTGCTGCTGAGTTGGAATGGCTTGTATTTGGTATTTTTTGCTGTTTTGTGCGTCATGGTGTTTAGTACTATGGTTGTAGACATACTATTCGGTATTCATGAATCTTCTAATTACATAGTGCCATCGTATTTTTATATTTTTTTTCATGTTCGTTTTAGGTTGCTTGGTAGGTACATGTTTTGCTCTGTGTTTAAGGCTGTTGTTTCTCTTATTTCGAATAAGGTGCGTGTTTAGATTTTTTATGGTATTTTAATGTAACTGGTTGTATTTTTGGAGTGTAATGCTATTTTATGGCCACATGTTTGCTGTGCTTTTTATTGAAGATTATATTTGAGATGAATTATAATATCTGAGAGAATTGTTACGTTTGGATAAGACAGTTTGTGTGGTTATTATCTAACTTCACTATTGTTTCTTTGTAGCCTTGCCGGTCTGTTGCTGAGTTTGTTGTTGTTTCTTTTATTCTACACTGGTTGATTCAACTGATTTGGCGAGGATGCCGTAATACTGGTTCCAATTGGAGATGAAAAAAGAACATATCAAAGAACACGTTTTTTAGAAACCATCTACATTTACTTTATAATTATTCACAACAATAGACAACATATTATTTTCAAAGACAAACACTTGCAAAGAAACTTGTAATGTGCAGTCAATTCCAAAGTAATTATGGACAGACCATATTACGAGCAATTTTAACGACTACTCTAAGGCCTGCCTTCAATTCAACCAGTGTAAAGTTGATATGATTAAGGGACATGAAAAAAAACTGCTGAAAAATCAAAGTAAAGTTTACGGATGACAATGGCATTACAGGGGTGTGTCCACGATCATCGGCCCCTATAGAAAGATTGAGATTATCACTTTCAAATTTGTGAGTTAAGAAAATTAGCCTACTAACTTTTTAGTCCTTGTCTGGGTTCATGGTTAGTCGGGACAATTTAGTCTTGTATTTTGTATTACTGTTGCACACATTTTTAATGTCGATTTAGGAATTGACTTTTGTTTAACCTCTAAAACACTTCATTTTGGCTTTAATGGTTGTATTTTTTGTAGTATCTAATCTTTATTGCAAAAAAAAAAAAAAAAGGACGAAAAAAAAAAAAAAAAAAAAAAATCTTTATTTATATATATATTTTTTTTTTGGTACAAAGAGAGGCCAAAGCCTAGCTAGTTAGGTCGCACACATTGCGCGAGTAAGAAACGCCAATAACATCATGATGTAACCACGACCGAACCCCATCGGGTGGCACAATAAAGTGTCGGTACCCCACCAACCCCTCCGCTGTGAAGGAGGCCAAATAGTCGGCCGCAAAATTCGCTTCACGGAACACGTGTTTCACCTTAACCTTCCAAGGTCGGCTCAAGAGGTCTTTGATCCCCAAAATCAAGCTCGTATGCACTCCCATCACCTCGCCGATAGACTCCGAGAAACTCACAACACTTGCATTATCAACCTCTGTCTCTACTTGGCGAAAACCCAAATCCCACGCTAAGCAAAGGCCCCGAAAAAGTCCCCATAGCTCTGCCGCCATAATCGAGCAATGCCCAATTTTCATCGTAAAGCCCCCTAGCCAATGTCCATCGTCATCCCTAATAAGACCACCCGCACATCCCACTCCCGACATCCCGTTATAAGAGCCATCGAAATTTACCTTAACCCACCTCGGTAATGGCCGCTCCCATCGAATCCATCTCAACACACGAAGACGACCCGTGCCACCTAATTTCTTCGCGCCATCTAGGATCTTCACCATCCCTTCGATATATTATTACTATATGATCATTATTTTTTAATAAAACAATGTTTTTCCAAACATGTCACACAAATTCACAACACTCTTTTCAAATTTGATACTTGTTTTTGTATACATTTTTATTGAATATTACATGTTTAATTACAATACAAATTGGGTTCGGCTGTGCACAGCCGATGCCAAACTAGTTATATTATATAAGAACCAGTTTTAGCAAGCTCATGACGAAACGTGGCATTTTTTTAGCCCTTTCCAAGCAACACGTGTCCCTGCAATAATAAGAAATTAAGAACCAGTTTTAGCAAGCTCATGACGAAACGTGGCATTTTTTTAGCCCTTTCCAAGCAACACGTGTCCCTGCAAGAAGCCTTCATAGGCCGACATCTGTACATATACGAAACTACTAGTTGGGTTCGGTCCAAATTTAGTCATTAATCTTGCAAAAAAAGATCTTAGCAATGAAAAATTAGTGTGACTATCAGTGTTGTAAGATCTTGCAAGGTGCGAATTCTCTCCAACCTAATATTACTTATTCGACATACGTCAAACTGCTAAGTTTAAACATTTGGTGTTTGAGTTCAATGAAATATAATCAAACACATTTCATTCGATAAATTCTTGATATTATCATCTACTACAACAATGTCAGACTAACATGTGTGTCTAATTTCTTTCTCAGTGTAATGTCCTCTTTCCCTTGGACGTAAGAGCATGCTCTTTTATGTTGGTCAACAACTCCTATCTCCTGAATTACACAATTAAAAGTAAGTAAACAATGTGGAAGATACGTTACAATTGATATATTTCAAAACAATCAAAGTATTGCAATAGTGGAGCAAAGTATTTTAATTGCAATAAGCTACTACAATCAAAGTATTTGAGGAACAAAAAAAAAGTCTATACGAGCCAAAAGTAGTCTAACTACTTTTAGTTTTCTAAAGAAAAAAGGGAATTTTTCTTATTTATGAAATCGTAAATTAACTTCCTATACATGCAGCAGTATAGTAAGACGCAGCAGAATAGTAAGACAAACTTTTTGAAATTGAATTTAGGATATGAATAAGAGAATATAAAATAAACAAGTATGCCTCCTTTCCAAATGGTCCGTGCTCCGCACGTTCCCCGTAATCCCCCAGCAGTTTGTCAACATCTACCTCAAGTAAGACAGAGAGGGTAAGTTAAAAGAAATTCATGTCAAATATGGAGAAATATATTAAGAAAAATGAACGAGGATCTAAAGGAATATATCACAACAATCAGGATTCATTCAAAGAGAGCAATGGAGAACGAACCATAACTCATTGGTATTGGCAGAACGGAGATATATTGCCATAAACCTGCAGTACGAAAGAAAAATAAAATAAAATTGGTATCACGTGTTTTTGTCATCAAACAATAACAATCAAACCCAAATAGATCTATTAAATGAAGTCTAAATTAAAGAATTTATTCATTTTGAAATCAAAGTGTCGTGGGAGTTGTAGATTTACTATTCTGAACTCATGACTGGATGCGATAATTCATCGGTGAACGGATGTGGCTGTTCACCTTTAGAATGACCGTGGTTGTTCACCTTCAGAATGACCATGACTGTTCATGATATGAATTGAGGAATGGAGAAGATTTAAATATTCCAATATAAATGAAAGATGAATAAAAGAGTAGAGATAGAAACTGAATTTGACGCAACTCAAAAATCAACAAACACTTTTTTAGCTGAGCAAAATAATAATAATAATAATAATAATAATAATAATAATAATAATAATAATAATAATAATAATAAAA